GAAAAGCATCACAAAAGAAGAATGCAAAAGTTTGGTGATGTCAGTGGGTCACAGGCTTGATGCAGTTATTGAAAGCAAAGGATTTGCAACTAAATATTAAGTCTCATTCACTTTAATCTATTTTAAGTTTATATGTTCCAATACTTTTGCTCACCTAAAAATTTTGTGTTCCATTACAAATAATGCTATCTTCTAAGTTGTGTATCAGATCCAGATGTAAATACCTGGAAATAAAAGCGGTGATGTTGATCTCTTGTCTCATATTCATCTTTTGATGTCAAACCCAAATGTTTTCAGTCTACAACAAAAGTAAACGAATTGGACTCACTGTTCCAATACTTTTGGAGGGCACTGTACGTTTTGAGTGGTGACGCCTTTTATCAAATAATTGCAGCTCCTGTGATTTGGACATTTCACTAGGCCATATTGTGATTTTGATAATATTTCAATTAATTGTGCAGCCCTCCCACTCTCCTGTTCATTTTTTTTAACATATATACAACTGTATTCTATAGAGTGGAGTTTGGTGCCCTCAGTAAACTCCACAGGGAACATAGTCAGCCTCTTGCCTCAACTGTGTGAACAATGAAAACTAGATGCAGATGTTTCTTCCTTGTGCTGCAGATGTGGTGTATGACCCTGACGTTGTAGAAAGTCTGGTGAAGCTGCTGTCCAAGATCTTGAGGTGTTCGTCTCCTGATGTCCCCCCTGAGGTCCTCATCTGCTCCACCATCAGAAACCAGGAGACGTACAGTGGCTTTAAGCTGCAGCTTGGTAAGAGAGGTTTCGTTCTTACAGATGTCTTGAGTTTAATGCACAAAGACCTCTCTTAAAATCACTCTCAGTACTGCCCTTACACAAGTCTTAAGACTAATGTTGAGCCAAAGACATTAGCTAAAAACACTAGTATTTAATGGATCAGGCTGGTGTTCTTTTATTTACACTTATTGATACCCTTTCCTGTTAACTGACTGAGTTTGTTCTGTTTTGACAGAAAAAGCAGGAATCAGCCATCATGTGATCACAGAAGCCGTCAGCCACGTGTTCCCTTACAACCGAGACTCTGCTATAGAAATGATCAAACTGTACAGGTGACACATCTGTAGCACAATAAAGATTTTATTTACAAATGTACATTGTATCAAAGAGTCCTTTATACATTCAAGTGCTCTGAAGTAGAAAAACAAACAAACACTGGAATGAAAAGTTTTTGGATTCAGATCTAATCCTCTACCTTCATGTAAAGAGACATCAAAACAAAAGATTCACCTACTGTCTTTCATCCCAAATATTCTAACATGACTTCTCTGCCATTTTTCCCTGTCAAGTCATTTTCTGTTGGTTTGTCACACACTCCTAACGTGATAATAACGCTTCACCTCAAATGTTAGATGCATTATAGTCTAAAGATATTGGTATTGGTCATTAAAAGTCCCTCTCTGGTCTTAACCTGGGGTTTATCAGGGAGCAGTGAGCAGAGGCAGGAGGTTCTGGTCCCAGTTGTTGTCCCAGCTCTGCCCTCTGCTGGTGCGGAGGTTCTTCCTGAACACTCCCAGTCTGCCCTCTGAACTGGGAAACTCTGACAGGAGAGACTGAAAACACACAAATGCAAATCATAACCATTTAAGGGAAACTTAAAAAGTGAAGACAGGGACACAGCAGATCTCTGAAAGGTCCTAAATGATCTAAACAGAATTTATTAACAACACTAATGTCCTTTACACTTCTACTGCTGTCGCTCACTATATCTTAAATGAATTAATTGTATAGGTGATGTCAATATGCTTCTGTGTGTGTCCTAAATAAAAACAGAACAGTCATCATTTTCTCTCATTTATATTTGAAGTAAAATGGCATATTCATTAAGTAAAAGTTTTCATAAATCATTCTAACTTGACATCATTTCTATACTGACTTCTGCACAAGTTGCTGATTTTTTTTCTTGTTTCTATTTATATAATGTGCAAAAAAAGTCATTTTAAAAAGCAACAATAACTAAAATGTAGTGATGAACATACACAGTGTTGTGATGCTCTGATAAACTTTAAAATGACCTCATTGATTAAATTAAATTTCAGGGGTCACACAGGAGTATGGCATTTTGTGTACAGAAGGATGTTAACAAAAACCTGAAAGCCAAAGAAATTGGAAAATACTGTAATGAGTGTGAAATGCAGACAGCAGAATTGCAGCTCCACTCTGATCAGTATAAATCCTGTCTGAATTACTCTGTCAGGTGTTAAAGAGTAACTTAACACCCCCTGAAAATCTCATTTTTGCTGACATTGTTTTTCAAGACTTACCTTGCTGCAGTGATGTACAGGTGAACTCGAGGACACAGTGACATCACTGACGGATGTGGTTACAGGTGTAACAGAGCTCACTACTGAGTTGAAAGGGGCTTGAATCCCTTAACCAAATAAGGCAGTGAAATACTGCTTTTCAGCCTGGTGTTAAGTTACTCTCTAACTATGTGTTGAAAGCTATGAGTCAGATCTTGTCCAAAAGTCAGGCACTGAATCTTTTAGCTAAAACATACTGAATTCCCTTTTATCGTACCTTAAACAATAATTTAAGTAGTTTTCAACCTGGACCCATTTTCCAATGTGCATTTTGTGCCCTCTCGCTCAGTACTGGGTTGATTTTGAAAACTGTTGTTCCCATTATTCAATCAGACACAAAAACATGGGAAAACAGGATTCGGGTTTTCCCGCACAGCACATATTTATGTGTCTGTATTTTGGGTACATGCAGGCATTCCTCTCACCTTGAGCTGCTGTGCGAGCTCCTGGGAGTCTCTGAATATCAGTCCGTTCTCCTCGTGCTTCACCAGCTCATGTAAACTGAGGAAAATAAGAGACCGTCATGTTAGCTTCAATACAAGCACACATGGAAGTTTTTTTTATTAAATCCACTTTTCAAAGATATGTTTGCTCCAAGAGTCTCTAGGGATTTTTAATGTCAACACTGATACATCATCAAACAAAGAACACTTGAATAATTTTTCTAAACCTTTCAGTTTATTTCTGAGTTCTTTTGACTCAGATCATTTATAATCTACTAAGAATGCTGCAATGTGAATGTTGATAAACAAGTGCAACAAATGGACCCTCCCTAATGAAAAACAGTTAAGACCAAAAGACTAAAAGCTCTGTAGGTGTCCCTGACGAGCTGCCGTACTGATCATATCTCACAATACCCTTTATTTCATGAGTGATAATTGTAATCTGCTACTGCAAACCAACTCCACTGGGGACCGATTAAGTTATTGATTGAAAAGGCTGTGTGTAAAATGTAAATCAGACAGCCTGGGTGGAGCTCACCAGTTAAAGTGGATAGCACAGACGGGTAGGCAGCAGCCGAACATGTCCACCACCTTCATGGGGAGATCCAGACTGCTGGATGACTTGTGGAGACAAACACCCAGATCTGCTGAACCTGACAACACAAACATATGACATATTGTACTGCCTTCTTTCCGTTCTGAGGCAGCTGTGTGAATGTGTAAACGTCTTAAAGCTCCTCCAGCTTTAAGGTGCAGGTTGATTTAGCCAATTTTCTTTGTAATTATTTGTGGTATTTTACATATGTAATCATGTTTAGCTGATCTGCTGTAAATAGCTGATTGAGAATATATGTGAGAAAGGGAAATTACTTATTGAATCAGGAGGTTAAACACAGTCTGACCTTCATTGGGACACACTGAACACCATAATACTGTAAAGCCTTTTTCAGACATGTACTGCGCAACACAGCTGGCTTCATCTATCTATGAAAGTAATGCCTTCTTTCAGTCAGATATACACCCAGCTGTTTGTCATGTTACAACCAAAAGCAGACATGACAGGACCACATGTAGAAATACATATTGTGTGCACACACCACAGTGATATAAAGGAAGAAGAGTTGTTTCTATTCACTTTCAGGCTGCTGCACAGACACATTTTAAAACTTTTTTTTTGATGTTGGATGCTCTTGCTTCTCCCTAATGAGCTCCCTGAGGCTGCAACTAACATTCTTCTATAATATAGATTAATAATGCCGATTGTTTTCTCAATTAATCAATGAATTTTTTGTCCATAGCAGGTCAGAAAATTGTTGAAAATTCACATCACAGGGCTTAAAGTGTCATATTCAAGTGTCTTTTTTTAAGTATGAAGCAGAGATTGTGGTATAGGATGAAAGTCTGTTGTTCTTATCATGATTGTGCTTGTATGAGCTTTTTATTTTCTCAACTGTTACACGTCACAAGCACAATAAATATTTGTATATAATAATTTAAGACAAAAACATTAAAACTGACTCATTTGTGGTGTTTCATGGTTTATTTATGTATGACTTTATTACTTTATTTGTGTATGAGAGATGATTGTTGAGTGGTAAATTTATCATGCAGCTCTTAATCTCTGGGCTGCTTTAGACTTTATGTTAGTCTGAAAACATTCAGCTCAGACCTGAGTCACAATTAAACTTGTACAGAAATATCAGACCTTGTCAGATTGCTGTGTCTTGGGCGCTTATTCAAACATGAGCCCAACATTAAATTACCTTCACATTCATGTGAAGAGGTGCAGCTCTGAGAGGAGCTTAACACAAGCACACACAGTAAATATGATACGTAATGTTCATTATTCTTACCTAATAAGACTGGATAATCTTCTGCCTCCAGCCAGGGAGTGCAGATCTTCACATGATCTAAATGCAGAGATTCAATCAGCTTCTTGTAGTGTTCCTTCTGAGGACCTTTACCTGCACACACACAAACACACACTCACTTGAGTGAAACCTCTTCTGAAATGAGACATTAGGATGAACAGTGAGGCAGCAGAGGGTTACCTGTGATCACACAGACTAACGGTGGTAATGAAGCTCCTCCTTTAACGAAACCTTCGTACTCTGTTGAGAACAATCAGGTGAGAAGTAATGAAACACAAAGTATCATATTTATTCCCTGTGTTTAACAGCAGCAGTTTAAAACCTCTCGTACCTTCAAGAGCCTTCAGTAGGACGGAGAAGTCTTCATCCTCTGTGGGGAGAAGAGACATTTATTTAATTAGAAACATACAGACTAGGGATGCAGGATATTGGATTTTTTGCCAATATCCGATATGCCGAGATATATATATCCGATGGATATAGATATTATTGCCCATCCTTAATACGGACTATTTTGGATTTTAAAATGTCTGATTTTAGAACGCTGAAATGAAAGTGTCTGACTTAGTGTTTGAAGTTGGATGTAAAAACATTTCTACAAACAAAACCATCAGAATAATTAGCAAGCTGGTGAGTAACTTGCTCATCTAAATAAACATCTTGTGATGATGTTCTACAAGTAACTATGTTGTTTTTTGTTTGTGCGAGGCAACAGACCATTAAAACAGGAACTACAATAATGATCGTCTCAAAATAAAGTCACATTAGAAATCCCCACAGCCCAAGGTAATCTATTTCAATAACTTGTTTTGTTTGCTGACAGTCCAAAACCCCAAAATGTTCAGTTCGTAGGTGAAAAAAAACCCCCATCAAATCCAGAACATTTGAGAAGCTGAAAATTGACCAAAACAATTAGCTGATTATCAAAGTAGTCGCTGAATCATTTTTTGATGATGGACTAACTGACTGTTTGTTGCAGCTCTGTTAAAGCACACAGCACAGCCTCACTTTTTTATTTGTCACCCTCATTTGCAAACTTTGATCCCTTCCTTTTGTTTGCGCTGCTGGACACAATACCCGTTATCCCATAATGCCTTGCAAATCGATTCACTAATGCCCCATACAAAATAAATGGGTGAAATCTGCTTTGTGCCTTGTTGTGCTGCATTTGCTTGTTCTTCACTGTAAGAACAGAATTCCCTCCTCTTTTATTCCCTTTTTTTTAAAAGCCCTTAATGAGCCTCACTGCTGCTGTCTTTCCTTTAATTTAGAACTGCAAAAAAAACCATCTAAGTCAGAGGTTTCCAGTCGCTAAATGTTCATCCAGACCTGTGAGAATTAGTAGTATGATTTATTCCTATCTTCAGTTAAAAATAATCTCATAATATATAAGGAAAAATAAATACTAAACTGAAAATGTTGATCACAATAATAAATTTGTTAGCTCATCTAAATGAAAATGCATCTTCATGTGTATGTTTATTCAATAAGTCATCTTAACATGTTCTCCTCTCACCTGTCCAGCTGGTGCTGCTGAGCAGCAGCGCCGGTCGCTCCGCTCTCAAGGTCACCGTATCACCAGTGGGGTCACAAACTGTGAAAACCGTTCTGTCCACATCCTCAGACCTGGGAAAAAACACAACAGCTCAGTCAAGGCAGTGTGTGTACTTCAGGGTAAACCAGTGTAGTACAGCAGCTAACTAACAGTCTGACTTTTACCTTAAATGTACAAAAGTGTCTTATAGTGTATACATGTTCCTGTCTCTGAAAACTTTGGGATCTAGACTAAAGTTTGAGATTAAGCTCTGTGGCTTTAAACTATACATTTGTTTGTAGTGATGGACCCACAGAAGTTCAGCAGAGTTGAAGATACACACAGAGAGAAAACAGATCTGAAATGCTCCTGCGGTGTTTCTCACCCTTTGCTCTGGAACTGAGGATAAGTGTTGGCCAGTTTCATGAAGAGCTCGTGCTGCAGCTTCAGTGGAGTCTCTCTGAAGATGGAAGCTGGTCTGTCGTACAGAGTCTTCGCCCTGCAAACAGTTAAAATGGTCTCTTTTCACTTTTCTTAATGTCAAATGGGCTGAGAGGTAGAGCAAGTTTTTATCTTAAAGCTCATGTTTAGGTCCAAAGCAGCTCCTATGCTGTTGAGACTCAAAGAATAGTTAAATTGTCCCTATGGGGAATGTTTACTAAGCATGGCTTGACTTATCATCAGAAATCTAGCATGACCACAATTTTTCCATTTAGTTTTGAACATAAAAAAGGGCCGAAAATCCAAAATAAATATCCTGTGTACTTCAACTTTCATACTGTTCAGGTGTAAGGAACATTACAGCCTCTCTACACGCTGCTAGCGAAGCTTCAGATCTTTATTTTCTTAAAGATAACACAACAAGTGCAAAACAAATCATACTTGATGCCCCAGTTTTTCTGTAAGTCGTCCTTCATTGCGTTGGTAACACACAGGTTGTGAGTAGCCAGAGGGCCGAAGAAGTGTTCGTACCTGGAAGAAGACAGGGACAAAAAATAATTTCTAAACCACACCACTTTCTGAGTATTTTGTGACATTTAGGGACACTTTAGAAACCCAGAATTTATACTACATTTCAAATTCAAGAATGTTTTTCTTGTAGACTAAGCACTAGAAACCCCAAATTTATCTAAAAAAAAGTTGGTTAGGCAGAAACTATCATTCACGATGTGGAAAATTGTTTTGGGCTTCACCACAATCAACATGAATTACATGAAAATAGTAAAAAACAGTAAAAACATTAAGAGAGCTTGCTAATGTTTAACTCATACAAATATTTAATAGCATTGTTGGAGGGAGCCTGAGTTCTAAGACTTTCATTGCCAATGACCGCTTATCTATAGTTGTTGTGCGTATGACAATAAATAACTTGGAAGGATCTGTAGTCACCAGGGCTTAATTTTAATTATTAGTCTAAATCTAAAAGGTTCAGTAAACTGCCGTCACCAGCCTCACACAGTACTCACCACTTTGCCAATCGGACCACCGGATGTGTCTGGCCATGGCTAAGGGCCATGATGGTGTAGCCGTAGTTGTGCCAGTCGATGATGAATCTGCTGCCACGCAGGACGCACACGAGCCAAGCCACTGCAATGCCAGGTAAGCCCGGGGGATTCTGGGATACAAATGCAATCAATAACATCAGTCTGAGGAGCAGGACAGAAAAGGTGTTACATTCAGTTTATAAAATTAATAAAACTAATTACAGAAGAAGTTACTCATAGGTTATATGCACCTATAAGATATGCAGTAAATAAGACAACATTTAATAGAAATAAAATGGCAACACTAGTGTGACCCTTCAATTACTAACAGTTTGGACAAAAAAAAACATGAATCAGCATTTCTGTAAATGTGCCAGCTGGTAAATAGTCAAATGCATACCATCCATCGATGGATACAAACTGTACATCACAGTTTTCCAGTACCTGCATTAGAATATGAGACTGAGTCTCCATGTTCAGCAGCACATAAAGAAGCTGGAGACACTGAAGGATCACCTTTGTCACATATGTCAGGATTTTTGGTCCCACTGAAAAAGGCAACACAGCATTTTGTGTTAAACATCATTACTTTTCTGGGCTTTTTCATCACTCGTGGAAAAAATTATAAACAGACAGAGTAATAACATCATGGTTCCAGTTACCTCGAACACCTTTGACTTCTGTTATAGGTGCTATGCTTATTTTCTCCTCTCTCAGCACGTCTTGGTGAGGTTTAGTATCTAAAATGAGATCATTTCAAAGAATAAAATTCGTCACTGTGGAGTTTTCATTTGATCATCTCTTATTATGTGTGCACTGCTCAACTTTATGAACTTTTAATACTTGATTTTAACGTCTGCGTTGTCCTAATTATACTTGCTTTCATTTCCATTTTCAGTGCAGGACTTTCACTTGTAGCAGAGTATTTCTTACAGTTTTATTTGAGTAGAAGATCTGAGTACTTCCTCCACCACTGTTGGATACTCAGTGTATTCAGTATTCTAATGTTTAGTAGTTTTTTACTTCTTTCGTTGCTGTGACATAGTAATCAATTAAGTTTACTAATTAACATCATCACGTGAAGTTTTTGTGAGACACTCTAATATAGGGAAACATATGAGTGTATGAATGACAGTATGAGATTTCACTCTTACCTAGAAACCCAACAAAAGTAACATAATATCCGTGTTTGCTGAGTGATAAGGCGTGATACTGCATCCGAGGGCTGCGACCGATATCCCCCAACACCAGCACACACACCCGCCGGTCAGTGCCGTCATCCCGCCGCCGCAACCACAGCGACACCAGTGCAGTAATAACAGCTAGAGACACAACTGGCCACGTTAAACCTGAATCTGAGGCGTAGAGCGCAAATAAAAGCGCCACAATTAACGTTAAAACAGTCAGGGAAGCCGTGCAGCTGCTGTGCGTCGCCATGTTTGTTTGTGATTTGTGATGACGCGGCTCAGTGAAGGAGGAGGAGCTAGATATTTAAAGTGACCGCAGCAGACTTTATGATGCGTTCAGGTACACAAAAGGAAAAAGTACGGACCTCATACATCTTTTTTTGCATATATATATA